AGTGAAATTCATCAGAAACATACTCTCTTTTTCCATGTTTTCTAGCCTGGAGATGCTGACATTTAGAATCATTGTGATTAAAATCATTTTCTTTAAAAAAATCCTATTCATGTTTTACTTCAAGTATTAACAGCTGTTGTTAACAAGTAGTAGTAATATTTCAAATTCAGTTATAATTGGGAACATCTATTTTTAGAAAATGAATAATTTCACATACCTCATTAATGTTTCCCCACATAAAAAAACAATTTTTCTCTCATTATGGCTAATGATGAGTAATTGCATTTAGATACAGAATATAATTGAAATACTATATATTTAGGGATGTATTTTTCTTATTTTTAAAATATTAATAGCAGTAATATTTTAGAATAATTGAGTTTGTAATCAAGCAGTATTTACTATTACAAGTCAGAATGCATCAGATATAGTGACATTACACTAAATTTATTTTATTTAAAGAAGTAAATGTTTTTATTTCATAGAAAAAAAGTAACCATGGAAGTCTAGTATATAATAATTCACTTTTTATATTTTTACATCAAATAATGGAAACAATAGAGAACAATAAGGAACTCTTGCAGTGATATTTAACACAATTTTAAAAATTATTCTCATGGCTAATATTTATATTTATTAAAATTTATAGACCGCCCCACTCCCGCAGGACTCCGGGCGGCTAACAATAAAAACACAACATAACTTAACAAAACAAACAATACAATAACATTCATCCAGGGGTCAGATTTTATAAACCTCAGGCCTGCCGGAAAAGCCAGGTCTTAAGCAGCTTGCGGAAAACCAACAGGGTGGGAGCGGTCCTAATCTCTGGGGGGAGCTGGTTCCAAGACGTGGGCGCCATCACAGAGAAAGCCCTCCCCGTGGCCCCGCCAAATGGCATTGCTTGGCTGACGGGACCTGAAGGAGGCCCAGCCTGTGGGATCTAACCGGACGAAGGGAACTATGAGGTAGTAGGCGGTCTCGCAAATAGCCTGGCCCTGAGCCATAGGTTGGATGGTAGACAGCATCCATTAACAATGAATCACCGCTCTTCTTTATTGTTTATTTATTCCTTGCTTTGATTCTAATAAACAAACAGATCTAGAATTAAAAATGGTGCCTTGAGGTGGCTTTAGTTTTGTTCCACTGGAACACTGTCCCCTTGAAACATTTTTCAAGTTAGTTTTTCTCTTCACTCCTCCTCAATTTTGAGCACACCCACTAAGAGAGGAAGTCAGACTGGGTATTTTCAGATGTCATTGTGGAAAAAGTAACAATAGGCCATTTTGAGCTGCAGGCTGTAAGGTGAAATATAAATAATATAATAATTAAATGCTAAGTGTAATCTGACAACTTTTACTAATACACAGTATTAGTGACTAATATCTCACTGGCTCAAGAGTCTTCCATCCTTCCAAGGTTGGTAAAATGAGGACCCAGATTGTTGGGGGCAATGTGCTGACTCTGTAAACCACTTAGAGAGGGCTGTAAAGCACTGTTAAGCGGTATATAAGTCCAAGTGCTATTGCTAATATACACCAATTACAATATTTCTCTTGAAACTAATCTAGAGACTCACAGGTAGAATATCAGAATTATTATGGGAATTGTTGGGAATTGTTTCCCCTTCATCTCCTACTTTTCTTTCACCTCTCTTTTGCCGATGAGTTGTCTGAAAAACTTAAAATCTGTACAATTTTTCCTATGGCTCAATAAAGATCTGTGGAGTGTATATTTTTACATTTTCTTTGTAACTCCAGCCTATATTAATCTGAACTTATGGTTGTGTACCATGGAGTCAGTGTTGACGTCAATAAATGAGTTTCAACAAACAGTCCCAGAAGAAAGTTTATAAAACATGGAATTCTAACTTTGTCCTCTGCAGAATTAATTAGCCTTATTTTTCCTTTCTTTAAGAAGTCCATTAATTTGCTCTGAATCATAAGGTAGGCTGATAAACAAACCTTCAATTATTGGGGTTAGCATACTTTCCTGGAAGAGCAGAGACCACATAGGCCTACAATAATTTGCAAACTATACATTAATATTTTGCAGTTTAAGAAAGGAGAGTTTTAGGGCTAGGCACAATGTGTCAATCTACTTTACTATAGGGGAGATTTACCAAAACTGCACTAACAGACCATGTGATTCTGGGTAAATAGAAATAGTCTAATGTGTACAGTTTCTCTGCCATTTTTACAGGAACCTATGCACAGGATATACCACCTCTGCAGTAACATTTTTCAGGAAGGACAGAAACATCTTTTTCTTTGAGACTCCAACTGTGCTATTCTCCACACAGTAGCCAAATTTTGTATAGCTGCAGTGAAAACACAGAATAATTGATACAAATGTGACAAATTTGTCAGTCTGGACTCATATCACTAATTTTATTATTTTTCTTTTTTTCCTTTTTAATAGGCTGATATTTGATCATAATAATGAATTTTATTTGATCTGAAGCTTTCAGTTTAATTCAATAACCCAGTTGTAGAATCCAGCAACAATGCTTACTTTCTAGAATTAAAATAATGTCAATATGACTTTCTACATCAGAGGCCCCCAACCTTTTGGGAACCAGGGACCAGTTCCATGAAGGAAGCTTTTTCCATGGACTGGAGAGGGTGTGGTTTTGTGTGCTGTCTGCATCCCTTAGATGGGACTTCACTTGTTTGCGTGGCACGGTTGTTGGCATGGTGTGGAGTGGTGCCGGTCCATGGACTGGGGGTTGGGACCCCTGCTCTACATGCCATCACCAGTAAGATGGGCCTTAGTCCCAGGTTGAGATCCAAAGCTTCCACATTAAGAGTTAGGACCGGTGGAAGGCTGTATCTATTATCTCTCTTCTGGTGTTGGGATTCATTTCCTCAATTTCTGAAGTTCATTGGTGTACTCATCTTCCACAAAAGTCAGTGAATCTAGCTCAGGGGTAGGCAACCTTGGCTCTTTTATGACTCGTGGACTTCAACTCCCAAAATTCCTGAGCTTGGAAACCTCTCCCTTTCCCCTCAGCATGGCTGGCTCAGGAATTCTGGGAGTTGAAGTCCACGAGCCATAAAAGAGCCAAGGTTGCCTACCCCTGATCTAGCTGGATTAAGATCACTTTAATAGAGAGCTCTCCCTGCTTTGTTAGGCTGATTTCCTTCTGCACAACAATGAGAAATACCTAAGTAACTTGATTTTCAGAATCTGAATTTAGCGGTCCACAATTTAGGAAGATAGGAATGAAGAAGAAAAGGAGATCAAATGTGTGTGTGTCAAGCCCCCCCTGGCTCGACATACAAGAGGGGGGAAGATGAAGAACAGCATGGTGGAAAACCAGCACCAGGCTTGGTGGTGCGTTTGGGCCGCCAAACAGCTGATGGGCGGTTCCAGAAGGCATGGGAAGCCGTGCCTGCACGGAAGGAGTTTGAGTTTGATCCGCCAAGCAGCTGACGGGTGGTGAACCGCCGGATAGCTGATGGGTGGCAAACTGGAGAGTGCGCTGTCGGGGCGGGGCGTCCCCAGAAGAAACCACATTCATGCGGACAAACTGGCATGTGGACAAACTGGATCAGCTGCTTCCTCTAATTACTGCCGGGTGCTGATTGGGTGATAGGAGAGTGGGGATGTGGGATGATTGATGGGTGGGGTTGTGGTTTGTTGGGCAGGGGTGCAGTTGCTAGCTAATTGGGTGGAGGGTGGGGTAGCATTAGCACAAATGTATTTAAACAGCACTGGGAGGCAATTGCTCCCAGCACAAACTTTGCATAGCAATGAGCCTTGTTACTGTAGGTCTCTGCTGATGCCAACATTTGCCTTAAAGTAAACCGCTGCTGCCTGAGTCGAGTTGTTTTCGTGTCCTTCTTTACTCAAGGTCCCAGTAGGATTGTTGAGAGTGTGAATATAATACAAGTGAAATATCTTCCAACCCAGAGATCTAAGATGCTTCATAGTGAAAATGAAGGAATTTCATAAATAATCTGACTAGCAGTTTCTTGAACTTGTCAATATATTGGTGCAAAATCAAAACATGCATCTATTCAAAAGGATTGGAGTTTTGATCACATGGTCATAGGTATTATCTTGACTTTTTAAAACTCCCCAACAGATACTTTTAATCTCCAATATATATTTTAAGACTGTAAAACATGTAGAGTGTTGCTTTACAATCTCCTCAGCTACTGAGCTTTATATTTTCAGTAAGACTTTTTGGCTTTGTATTTTCAAGTTATCTTGACCGCCCCTCTAGAAACTGTTACAGTACATGAATCGAGCAGGATCTTGAAAAGTAACAGGCTAATAGTGCTAGCCTTTCAAAGCATTTAGAAATATTTTTAATAGCAACCAGTTTATTTATAGCTCTGAGCAAAACCTTGAATAATAGCATCTTGGAGTATGAGTCTACTTTGTGTTCACAAAAGAGGTTGACTGATGGAAATGTGCACATCTGGACATCACATTTTATTCTAACCAAACCATCTCTTCAGTACATGCGCGCGCGCACACACACACACACACACATACATACACACACAGAGGGAACATGTTGTCCTGAGCATTTTCTCTGAAGAGAATTCATTCACAGAAGTCTCTCTCAAAGGTGTGATTCATTCTCTTACAATGTGAATTTCAGTCTACTTACTTAGTAGCCTTCTCTTGCATAATGTAACTGCATGCCACTTCACAAATTATAATTATTAAAAAATATATAATTTTTAAAAGTTCAATTAGCATTATGAAATTAATATAACTCTAAATTTATCATTCAAGCCCAACATTAGTTGAAGTGCAGTTGAACACTAAACTTTATCAGACATAATAACTAATGAATTAAAAAGAAATATTACTAATTCTTTTTTTTTATTGAAAATTTTTAAAAGTTTTTACAAATAAGAAAAAAGAACAAAAAAAAACACAAAACAACCCTCACCCAACCCCTCCCAAACCACCCCCCTATCCCCCCCCCCGAGCTTCCCAGAACTGAATATAGGCTTAAATAAAATTTTAAAAACCTAAACAAATTTTAACAACTTATAAAATAGTTAATAATAAAATATATATGACATAAACATTAAAAAGAAAAAATACTTAAAAAGAGAAAGAAAAAAAGAAGAAATATTACTAATTCTTATTAAAAGACAGAACAATGGCTAACCATAATGTTTTGAATTTACAAAATATTCTGCAACAGTCTTATGCTTTTTATTTACCTATGGTTATTCCATACTATGTACATTTATTCAATGATGGTTTTAAAAGTATAACGTCCCTCTGTCATTCCTTATTTGTTGGCCATTCTGAATGTTTTACACTGAAACACATGAATAGATAAAATCTCAAAAATTCTCACTGTTTAAATATTAGTATAGCTGTTTAAAATGCTTGCAAGTATGCCAGAGCAAGAAATAATTATCCTCCCTGCCACTACCCACCTTAAACAAGTCAGTGATTTTCAGAGAAATCTTAGCACTTTTGATATTAATGGCTTTATGCGAGAACAGAGAATATATTTAAATTCTAAAATGTCTGTGTGACCCATTAATTAAAAAAAAAAGTATTCACTCATGAAACACGGATCGGGAGGTCAGTGCCCAGTGGCCACCTCCACATTCAGGTTATATTTACTCTAGAGATCACAGGGAAATGTGAGAAACTGTCTCCAGATGTGTTTACCATGCATCAAAGGCTATCTCTGATTGCAATGGGAAAGGAGACTCCCCCCCCCCCCAGGAATTCTACCTCCCACTTGCAGGGTTTGTAGATCTGGCAAAGATCAGATTTAGGAGACAAATAGAGACTGCAGGTAAACAGTTGGTACCAATCCATCTCCTGGGTTGTGCTGGCAAATACCTTCCATTGGATGAGCATCTGCAGTGGATACCCACCAAGAATGCGGACTGGATGGATAAGGTTTCATAGATGAAATCAGCTAATATATATGGTCAATTCAGAATGTGTGCTGTGGTCAGTTCAGAATGTGTGCTGTGGTCTTCTCTGAATTCTCTGAGACCGCAGCTGAAGAGAGAAATCAGGCAATCAACCCAAAGAACCAGGATGGTCATCTTATACCTATAGCAGCATCAGGCAACAATGACTCTGAGTAGATCAGACCTGAATGAGTTAATTGGGGTCAGATTTTGGCAGGCACACAGCTGGGTTGAACAAGGGGAATCCACATATTTCCCTGAAGCAGACAGCAAGGCCACTAATAAAGGCATGCCAGCATATGGTGTCATATACGAACAGTTTCCAGGCTCTTGTCCCTCTGTTGAAAAACAAAAATAACAGCAGCGTCTCTGATTTTGCATCTGCATTCTTATTCCTCCTTGTGCTGTATTTAGACAAGCTCATGGAAATTTGTAGGGCTTGGACTAGACTTTTACAGACCAGAGATTCTGCTCTGCCTCTGCCTCTCTTCTGCTGGCAGATCACCAACTGTTCAAGTTACAAGACAAGTTATGTTCTCTGTGAACCTCTAAAGCTTAATTGCCTTAGTAATTGGATAATTACACAATTCCTGAGTAATACAGTATCAGAAGGTTTGTGTCATGGCAATAAAATGTTTCAAATGTGTATCTGTCTGGCTTTCGGTTTTGGCAAAATGGCACGGGGTGATATGCCAAGTGAATGAATGGGTAAGTTCTCACGTTCTCCACACTTGTTTGTGTCATATTTGCTCTCAGAACCCTAAGAGGTTCAAAACTCAGTTGCCTATGGCTGATTGAAGACGTTTCTCAGAGATACGATTTTCTCCTCTCCCGTTTCAATAAATGTTGTCAGAAGCTGAGCAGGATAAGTGAACTGCTGCCCATCAGCACTGCTTTCTCCTGACTCTGATTCTGCTGGTCAGACATAAGTACTGCTCCCCTTTGGACGTGACTGTCTGGGCTTCTTTCAGTTCAGAAGCTGAACATGTAATTCCATCATCATTACAAACCTAAAAGGAAATAAGCTACATTAAGGCAAAGTGGCAGGAAGCAACAAAATATTATGTGGACCTTGCTTGCTTACAATACTTCCTTTTCTATAGCCAATAAAACAGAGGTACCTAACTTTTGGGGCACCAGAGACTGGTTCCATGGAGAAAGGTTTTTCCGCAGACTGAAGAGTGCATGGTTTTGTATGCTGTCTGCATCCCACGGATGTGGCTTTGCTTGTTTGTGCGGTTGTTGGCATGCCAGGGACCGGTACTGATCCACAAACTGGGGGTTGGGGACCCCTGCAATAAAACATGTGTATAGATTTTAGGAAGCTTTTCTGGAGAGTATATTTGGTCCAAGAGGACAGGATTGATTCTACTTATGCTTTAACTGACTGTATCATTCACTAATGTGCTAGATCAGTGGTTCTCAACCTGTGGGTCGGGACCCCATTTGGGGTCGAATGACCATTTCATGGGGGTCGCCAAACCACGCTGTCCGCCATTTTTTTCCCTTTTCCCTAGCTGTCCTACTCCCTCTTATTGGTGGCCACACCCACTTCGGGGTCACCACAACATGGGGAACTGTATTATGGGATCACGGAATTAGAAAGGTTGAGAACCACTGTGCTAGATGTTTGAATAATCCCTTATGTAATCCCTCTTGCTTCCATTTTTGTCTCTTTTTACATAAGTCATATGGCACAATGATTTATTTTCTGACAGACTTCCCCTGTCTTGCTTCCCAGAGACTTGTATGTTTGCTTGTGTATTTGTCTAATGTGCCTGTTTTGATTTCTAAATAACTGTGTGGGAGAGGCGTATAAGAGACTTACTTTGCAGATGGTTTTGAATCACTTCAGTTGTGCAATCTATCATTAAGAGTTTGGTTTTAATTTCAGATTAAATATTTCATGCCAAGTAGCAGCTACAGATATGGGTATGGCTTCCCACATTAGTATTCTACTTTTGTGGGAAATGTTTTTTTTTTTTTTGGGAGGGAGTTTTGAGTATGAGAGTTTGCCTACACACTTAAAAAAACAGATCTAGGATTAATTTTTACTATTATGATTCTTCTGGTGGTAGAAACCAGCATTAACCCTCATGCATAGGGCAAGTAATTCAAGTATAGAGTTGGTTAGCTTATGCTTTTACCCTGATCCTGTAGAAACATCTAAAGAACTGCAAATGCTTTGTGCTTTGCCAGTTGCCTTGCATCTCTGACTATTTGGCTGAGCATGTTATGTGTTGATGTGTTATAATTACTGGAATGGATGATTGTGCCTCTTATCTATTTTGCCTTATAGAGGCATTTTGAAGCTCCTGATCTCAACATAGATATTAAAACTTTTTTCTTTAAGGAAAAGAATCTCCATTTTTTAATTTATATTAATAAATTTTTATATAAAATGTATATATAAAATAAAATTAATAAATGGATACACACACACACACACCACCACCACAGCTCATATATATATATATATATATATATATATATATATATATATATATATATATATATATATACATATCATAACATATACATACATATATACATACATACATACACACACACACACACACACAGGTAGGTAGGTAGGTAGGTAGGTAGGTAGGTAGGTAGGTAGGTAGATAGATAGATAGATAGATAGATAGATAGATAGATAGATAGATAGATAGATAGATTGATTCTCCATAAGAAAGGTCAAAAACAGCTCACAGCAGAAATAAGGTTATTTTTTCTAAAAAAGGAAACATTATATTAGTGCAGATAAATGATAAGAGAAAGGATAACCATTCCAAGCTAAGGTAAATTAAAAGACCAGGGAAGATAGGGGATATTTGCCTGATACTAGAAAGACATGTAGGTGGTCTCCAAATTAGCATATCTCTGGAATTAAATAGCCTGGACTCCATCACCCAAGAGCTGTTTCTTTTTATCAATACATCATCTGTTTATCAGAGGTTCTTTTGCTTCCAGAAATTGCTGGGTCTTGATAAGTATATAAGAAAAAAAATGATTCTGCAGCTATCCAGCCCATAATTATGATGGCCACCCTGAAGTGGACCCCAGAATAGGCTGTAGTGTGATGAAATCAGATTTTCTATTAAATATTGTGTTTCAGCCTTATTTCTGGACTATTTTCATGTCCAGAACATGAGCAGAATTATCCTTTGTATTGTTCTTAGACAGTATCTTGGCAGAACTTTAGACTCAAAGGAATTTGAATAGCTATTTCTATTACATGTGTATGGAAACTATCTTCAGTTCTGAATGGGACAAAAGTGGGCCTACAAAGTAAAAACAGAATAGGTTAACTATTTGAGAAGGAAATAGGGGAAAACTATAATTTTCAGATAGGACTCACAGAATTATAAATTCAAAACATTTCTTCTGGTAGTCACATCATTAGATGTGGAAGAGTGGATTTGGCTATTTTACTAGAATGTTCTGGCTCTGCTTTTGCCGCTATCAATAGAGATATGTGTAAATAAGCTAACATATTACAAAATATCTTAAATCTCAGTGCCTGAAATCTAAAAGAAGAATCAATCTTTATAATTTTGTCTAGTAGATAAGACATCAGACTAGAAACTAGGAGAGGCTGAGTTCTATTCCCACCTTGGGGATGAAAGCCGCCTGGGTGACTTTGGACCTGCCAACCCAGCCTACTTCACAAGGTTGTTGTGGGAAAAATAGGAGGAGGAAGGAGTACTACGTATGTTTGCGACCTTTTATTATAAAAACAATAAAGATGTGATAAAATTAAATGAATAATTACTGCAGAGTTGAAATTCCTTAATGTTTCAGGAAGTAGGATGGGTATTAAAGTACTTGTGGTTTCAGTATTTAATAATAATAATAATAATAATAATAATAATAATAATAATAATAATAATAATGTTGGAAGGGACCTTGGAGGTCATCTAGTCCCATACCAATGTATGTTATAGAAAAAAAAATCTATCTTCTTCCAGCCTCTTCCCTAAATCCGTGAGAAAATTGTATGTAGTGAGCTCTTCTGATATTTAAACATCAGGAATCATTTAGAAGTTTGTCTGCCTACTCATTCCATCTAATGATTATGTAATTTTTCTTGTGACTGTTTGGGAAACAGATTCCTCTGCTATGTAGCCAGAATTTTTTACTTAGATCCACACCCAGAACTATCCTTTCAAACTTCCTTCAGATTCTTAGAAACAGAAATATATATTCATCCTAATAAGGCATGTGTTTGTCTAAACAGTGAGGTTGTTAGTATAATTATAGGACTAAAGTGTTTTTTTTTAATGGACTAGATATGTAGCACTGATAACAATATAATTGAGCCTGGGGGAATTAAATATGCATGTAATGAAGAAGGCAGCACAGAGAAACTTGTCATAATTAGGTGCTCATTCTGAGAAAGGCTCTAGAGTATTGCCAGTGGGTGAAGAATGTTACTTATCTAAATTTAGAAAAAAAAGGTGGTTGCACTGAAGTCAGTTATGCTCCAATATATCCAGAGGTTTAAATTATATAAACCATGCTATTCAGTTTTGATTAAGGATATTCTAAACCAGAAGCCACCTTCTTCCTCAGCCTAGTAAACCTTGAGAAGATGAAAGAATAATATAATTCCACTGTGAATGTATCAGTGGCCAATCATTCTTTTGGTATCACATTATTACAGATCTCATGATAACACCACTTTCCACAGTTAGCAAGAAGTTGAATATACAACTTCCCCCCTCACCACCACCAGTGATCTATCACAATCCATTCATACCTGTTCTCCCAGGTTTCAAACAGACATTTTTCACAATATACCACTACCAACCACAGGGATTCAAATGTTTAGTGTCCATATACTATTCCATGTGGTGGCCCATCCCATAAGTCTAGGAACATGCAAAGGAACATACGAAGTGCTTCAAAAAATGACAAAAACACAGTAGGCTATTTGAAATATCTTCTAAGAGCCAGAATGGTTAATACAGGTAATCCTTGACTTAAAATCATAGTTAATCAAACCCAATTTTCCAAACTTTTTTGTAGTGAGTGTTAAGTGAATGTGGTGATCATAAAGCAAACACAGTGGCTATTAAGAAAATCCAATTATCCAGTGGGAGTTTTTTGCTGGCAACTGGAAAAAGCAGTAAAAAACAATGTCAAAAATTATGGTCCAATGACTTTGGACACTAAGCAGATGCAAAGGTGAACAGGTTGCCAAGCTTCCAAAATGCAATCACTTAACTTGGGGAGAGTTTCACAGCCACAGAAACTTTGAACTCAGATTGTACCTTTGAAGGGAGCGGGGAGTTGTCATAACTATGAACAGTCGCTAACTGACTGGTTGTAAGCCAAGGATTATCTGTAGTTGCAGGTTGGGCGATTCAAGTTCAAGTCCATCCTGTGGCATGAAAGCTTTGGACTAGTTACTCTCTCTTGATCTAATTCACCTCACAGGAATATTGATGGGAGGACAAAATGAAGGGAGACCAGTTAAAAGCTGCCTTTAATTCCTGGACAAAGATGGGACAACTTAGGTATTAATCACTTCCTCTAAGTCTGCTTAAGGCCCTTTAAGGCACAACAGTGCTGTTGTGAATAAAGAAATGGGTGATTAACATGGGATTGGAGCTAGCACATAGTACTCTATTCAGCTATTCTAATGTTTGAGAGCAGAATCATAAAAAACACTGAATTTTGATGAGTCCTAAATTCTGGTTACAGTTGCTTAAAGACAGCTAGCTACTAATGAGGTGCTTGCTCATGTCCACCATCTGTCCTTGAATTCTAGCCACAAATTCTCTGTGACTTACACTATCCATTCATTTTTTTATTAAGGCTGACAAGTCTGTGGTTTTCATATTTTCTGGATTTCTTGCTTGGCTCCTATTCTGTCACTATTACACAGCCAGGATCTCAGGGCATGGATTAATTTAGTTGACTATAATAAGTTTATAACCCACATTGAAAGTTCATACGTAGGCTTTTTGTAGTAACCACAGTACAAAGAAAAAAGCCAGCATATGAGCTATTCAGCCCACAATTTGGAAAATATTCACTCGATCTTAACAGTGCTGGGGCTTCCCATAAACCACCAACATAGAATTACTCTTTTGTTACTAAGATTAGGCTGTTGTGTAGCAAAAGCAAACAGTAGCTTCAAATAATACTGTGGATCCGGCTAAGCTATTAAGAAGAGGATGTTTACTTTTTCCATGTTTTACATGCTGGAAGTGATCACCTATTCTGCACATATTCTATTGAATTTATCTTTGAATCTTTTATATTATACAGATCTAAGTTC